GTATAGTAATTGGCTTCGGTGGAACTTTTACGAAATTGGTTTTCAAGATATTTAGGCTTGAAATTCCAGTAGCCTGAAGCCGCGAGGACATACACCGTTGTATTGAAGAGGTTGCCGACCCAAATCTTGTTCGTGAAGAGTCGCTTTAAGGCCTTCTTGAGGTCTGGAATTATAGAGGAGGTCTGGGATTATGGGGTTACTTAAGGTTCTTTGAGACATGGGTCACTGAGGTCGACATTTATTATTTTCATTCGTGCTCATTGTGAGTGTGTGTGTGTGTGTTTGTTAGAGAGAGAGAGAGAGAGAGAGAGAGAGAGAGAGAGAGAGAGAGAGAGAGAGAGAGAGGGAGAGAGGGAGAGAGAGAGGGAGAGAGAGAGAGAGAGAGAGAGAGAGAGAGAGAGAGAGAGAGAGAGAGAGAGAGAGAGAGAGAGAGAGAGAGGAAGAGAAAGAGAAAGAGAGATTAACGATCTGGAAGTGAAAGTGTTCAACCGCGTCTGTTTGTGTCCTCGCGGCTGCGTATCAGAGAGAAGCCTCACTGGGGAGCGTCGGCCTCTCCTGGGCTTCCTTGGACTGCTTGGCGAGGGAGGCGAAGTAGCGCAGGCCGCGGTCGCCGCCCTCCCTGCGGTCCTTCTCCGCCTGCCGCAGGACCCGCTTCGCCTCGCGCCGCAGCGTCGCCGGCATCTTCCGCGGGAACAGGAACAGCAGACTCCCCGAGAAGATCAGGCCGGAGCCGATGAACAGGTAGCCTTGGGAAGCAGACGCTGGGGTTCAACAGCTGTTCTGAATAGCGTTTGGCAAAGCGGTCGGCGGGTAATTGGCAGACAATCAAGGGGTAACCACGTGTTTAAAACTGTAATTTCATGAATCGCTGTGACAAAGAGAAACTATATTTACTTATAATAAGGAGGTTTAAAAAGCGATTCCTATTGCTTTAATGACACTAGCATCACCATAAAAGCAGAAGTACTTGCCATCTGGTAATTTCAATCATCGTTAATGCTAAAACACTACACATTCAATACAATAAACTGTTTAAAATAAACAAATACCTCACACGAGAGAGGTATTTGTCACCCATACAGACACCAGTCCTTGCCCCCTCCCCCCCTCTGCCCCTCCCCACGTCCCCTCTGCCCCCTCCCCCCCCCCCTCACCGATCCACCAGGCGCCGAGCCAGCGCGGGTCCTTCGTGGTGAGCGCAGGAACCTCCTTCGGGTCGATCCACGTGGACAGGCACTTCCCTCCGACGAAGAAGCCCAGCACGGGGCCCAGGATGCGCAGCATGAACGAGGCGGCTGCGGGGACGCCGCCGGTGAGTGGCTTTCGTTGGCGGGGGTTAGGGTTTCATGCATTCTCTGGCTGAAAGTCTGCCTCTGTCTCTGTCTCTGCTGTCTCTGTTTGTCTGTCTGTCTCTGCTGTCTCTTCTCTGTCTCTGCCTCTGACTGTTTCTGTCTGTCTCTGTCTTTACCTCTGTCTCTGTCTCTGTCTTTGATTGTCTCTGTCTGCCTCTGTCTTTGCCTCTGTCTATATCTGTCTGTCTCTGCATTTGCCTCTGTCTATATCTGTCTGTCTGTCTGTCTGTCTCTGTCTCTCTCTCTCTCTCTCTCTCTCTCTCTCTCTCTCTCTCTCTCTCTCTCTCTCTCTCTCTCTCTCTTTCTCTCTCTGTCTCTCTCTCAAATATATGTAGTTAATTATAGTGTGAATTTACTATTGCTATATCTTATTTGTTTAATATTTATTGTTTCTTTTTCTCTCTCTGAATTCTATTAATTATAGCAAACTGAAGGGTATATAATCGTCATTTTCTGTGAGACATCTGCACTTATTAAACGGTTATTTCAACCTTAATTTTGATCTTATATGTTTATCTCATTTTCCTTCTTCAATAAACGTAATTATAATTTCCAGTGTAAACTAGAAGACAAACAAACAAACAAAAAACTTACAGTAATAAACGGGATATGTCTTCTTGCTTATGTTATCGTCTAAGTAGGTGACGCCGATGCTGTAGAAAATGCTGATGGCGATTCCTACGAAGAACTGAGAGCAGAAGAAGAGGATGATGGCGCCGATGTAGGCTCCTCCTCCGCCGCCTCCGTCAGGCCCGCAGTTCTCCTCAGGGTGCGAGAAACACAGCTCTTGCTCTGGAGTCAGATTGATGGGGTGATAGATAGATACGTAGGATACGTAGATGGATGAATGAATATGTTTGTTTGTTTGTGTATGTGGGGTGTTTTTTTTTTTTTTTTTTTTTTTTTTTTTTTTTTTTTTTTTTTTGTGTGTGTGTGTGTGTGTGTGTGTGTGTGTGTGTGTGTGTGTGTGTGTGTGTGTGTGTGTGTGTGTGTGTGCTTGCGTTCCTGTGTGTATGTATTCGTGCTTAATTGCCTTCGTTCATGATCCATATGATATCAAATCGTAAAAATCCTTTCCTTCAATTTATCCACAACGAAATTTTTAAAAAAAAAATCCTCTCATTAAATCTAGCCACAGAGAGTGATTG